GAGAGTATTATGGTAGATATTATTCTACTGGGAAACATATGGGCTTTTTGCAAAATACTTGCTAGATTGTGAAATTGTTCCACAATACACCATACCTGGTACTCTTGAACAAAACGATGTAGCCAAAAGGAAAAACCGCACTCTTAAGGATACGATGAGAAGCATGATAAATAGGTGTAATTTACAAGAATTTTTATGGGGCGACACTTTGAAAACATGTCTCTATATACCAAACAGAGTTCCTAGTAAATCAGTTCCAAAAATACCTTTTAAGCTTTGGACAGGTAAAGGATACATATTCTTCGTTTTTGGTGTTACCCCACAGAGGTTAAAATATATAATCCATTTGAGATAAAGCTTGACCCAAAAACAAGCCGTTTTTTTTTCATTGGATATGCAAGTCGAGCTAAAGGATACATATTCTTCTGTCCTGGTCGAGGTAATAAAACTGTGAAGTCGATGTATAAAATTCATTGAGCTTGATGTTGTTGAGTCTATCATTGCATATGATAATATTGATTCTGTTATGCCTGACGTTGTTAATTCGCCACTGCCTAATTTTGATAATGCTAGATCATTCACTGCTCGTAGAGGTTTTACTCCAAATGAGAATGTGGCTGAATATCCAGTTGAAAATATGGTTGAACCACTTATTAAAAATGTAGTTGATTATCATGTTATAGCTGAGGTTGAACAACTTGATGAGCATGTTGAGCAAATTCATGTTAGAAGGTCAGTAAGATAAAAGTGTCCTGATATCCCTGATGATTTTGTAGTTTATCTTAGTGAGGATGCTTATGATGTTGGTATTGTTATTGATCCTAAAAATCATCTAGAAGCTATTACTTGTTCTCAACCTAGCATGTTGACAGATGTAATGCATGATGAAATGAAATCCATGGTAAATAATGATGTTTGGGAACTAGTGGAGTTACCAAGAAACTGTAAGGCGATTAGCTGCAAGTGGATATTCAAAACAAAGAAGGACTCAAAAGGTAAAATTGAGAGGTTTAATGCAAGAATTGTGGCTAAGGGCTTCACACAAAAAGAGGGGATTTATTTTAATGAAACATTTTCTTTTGTTTCCACTAAAGACTTTTTTAGAATCATTATGCCCCTTGGAGCACATTTTGACTTAGAATTGCATAAGATGGATGTTAAGACTACTTTTTTGAATGGTGATCTGAATGAGAAGGTGTACATGCAGCAACCTGGGGGGTTTTGCGATAAGTGGTAATGAGCATTTGGTTTGTATATTAAGAAAATCTATTTATGGTTTGAAACAGGATTCCAGACAATGGTACTTGAAATTTGATGAGGTGGTGACTTTATTGGATTTTGAAGAAAATAAAGTCAATCATTGCATCTATCTTAAAGTCAGTGGGAGAAAATTTATCTTTCTTGTGTTATATGTTGATGATATTTTGCTTGTCAATAATGATATTAGTGTACTTCATGAGACCAAACTTATGCTAACCAAGTTCTTTGATATGAAAGATCTTGGTGAAACATATTTTATGTTAAGAATTGAAATACACAAAGATAGATCATGTGGTGTACTTGGCTTGTCACAAAGGGCTTATATCGATAGAGTCTTAGAGAGGCTCAATATGTAGAAATGCACGTCAGAGGATGTTCCATTTAATAAAGGAGACAAATTCAGTAAAGATCAATGTCCTAAAAATGAATTTGAGCGGGCAGAGATGAAGGGAAAACTCTTTGACAATACATTGGGCAGCTTGATGTATACTCAAGTATGCACTAGGCGTGATATTGCTTTCATAATTGGCGTCTTGTGATGATATCAGTCTAATCCTGGGAATGATCACAATTGATTTTTCCCAAGTGGGAGAATGTTAGATTTACCTAAAAATTTATGGGTTACAACCAAATGTTATTTAGTTTGTTAAAAATGGGTTAATTGTGATTCTGATGAAGGTGCATAAATAAATCCTTTTATTAGTTAAATGGTATTTTTTTTCAATTAAAGACTGGGTATCTAAAATCTAATTGGCGTGGGCAAAAGTGTGGCTTTAACCCTTGCCCTATAACAGGTCCTCTATATAATCACAAGAATAAAAAACATAACTGACGGCTTCCCAACTTGAAAGTTGTGAACATGAGTGTGAAATGCATAGGAAGATTCACTCACTCATCTTTTTAGGATTCTAAATCAAGGTGACAAGAACGATAACTCTTATTCCCAAATCATGTCTACAACAAGTAATTATTGATGTTCTAATTTTATAGAAATGATCAATGAATTTTTCCACTTACCTATATATATATATATGTGTGTGTGTGTGTGTGCGCGCGCGCGCGTGTGTGTGTGCGTATGCGTGTGTGTGTGTGTGTGTGTGTGTGCGCGCGTGTGTGTGCGTATGCGTGTGTGTGTATGTGTGTGTGTGAGTGAGTGTGAGTACGCGCGCGTGCTTATGTGCGTATGCGTGCGTGTATGTCCGTAATAAAAACTTGTTCTTTTATTTTAATAAATCTAATATGGTGCATGCGTTTAAATTTATACATACACTCCAAATTTGTATTCTTGTTGATGATTTTTGAAACCATGTTATTTTGGTATTTAAATTGAATAAATAAATTATGTTAAAATAAATTTTTTATCATGTTTTGTTCTTTATTATGTCACGGTAATTAACTTTTACAAATTTGAAAATTTTAAATAAATCATTAAATTATTATTATTATTATTAACTTTTGAAAATTTGAAACGGATTTTATTTTTTTAGTTCTAAATTTGGAGTATACATGTTTACTTTTATTTATATATATATATATATATATATATATATATATATATATATATATATATATATATATATATATATATATATATATATATATATATATATATATATATATATATATATATATATATATATATATATATATATATATATATATATATATATATATATATATATATATATATTAGAAATAAATATTTAATCTACACTTTTTTTTATCGATAACAAACTTTTGTTATATTTTTTTAGTATTATTTAATTACAAATATTTCTCACATTTATTATGTATCAATGAAAAATATGTGACCCGTATTGTTTAAAATATTTATAATGACAAATCTTTCTCTTGTGTTTTTTAGTGCATGTGGTAAATATTAATCTCATATTTTTAGTGATAAATATTTGTCTCACTTTTTATGTATCAATAATAAATATTTGTTGAATATTTTTTATATTTGTCAAAATTTGATATTTATTTAGTGTTTTTTTTTTAAATATTTTGATGGAAAATTTAATCAGTGGTAAATATTAATCTCGTATTTTATTTTATAATTTTCAACGATAATTTTGTGTTTTTTTGTTTTTATAAATGAATTTAAAAAATATTTTGAAAAATTAGTAAATACAAATTAGTTTATTAGTGACTAATAATTGTTTGAAAAATATATGAATTGTATGATCACTGACTTCTTAAATGACTTGTTTCTTATAAACAATTTAAACAAGATTTAAGTGCGAGAAAAAGTATTTTAATATTTTAATATTTTTTTATTATGGTGATATTAAAAGCATAATTTAACTTATTATTTAACCAAAAACTTTTGACATATGATAATATGCAAGAAAAACTTTGATAGAGAAAATATATTTTGGAAAAAATTTAATTTATTTTTTGTCATAATTATTATTCAAATGTATTATATTATAATTAAAAAAGTTAATAATTATTCTTTATATGATTAGTATGTTCTTTCATTTTTTAATATATCAATTAAAAAATGTGGAAAAAATAAAATGTAAAAAAAAATAATTGATGTATTATAATTGTTTTTTTTTGTGTTAAAGATATTTGAAAATATCAACTTTTAGTAATTTTTTAGCGATGTGGAGATGATATTTAAAATAAACTATAATTTATTTATTTTAATTAATGAAAATGTTTTTGAAAAATTTATTGAATACAATAGATTGATGCTTTTTTTTATGATTCATACTTCTCAACAATATTTGTAGTTATATATTTTTCAATAAAAAAAAATACATGATGAAAAATTAATTAGTTTTTTAATTATAAACATTTATCCCATATATTTTTATATAATGAACTCAAATTAGCTAATTAATTACAATGTTTTGTTTTTTATAAATTATATGTCACTTTTAAATAACACATTTTACAATTTTGAAACTATACTAAAAGATTATGTAATGACATTAATGTCTTAAAAGTAGTATATGTGTTAAAATTTTAAAGCTAAACTAAAATGTTAGATATGAACTTTTGATGGTAATAACTTTTCTCAAATGCCCTTTGTAAGTTGGCCTTGATACTACCTACTTGCAGGAGGGGTTGTTGCATGATAAAACGTGATAGTTAGTAGGGACATGAAAATAGCATCCAAGGCTCTTAAAGTTGTGTGCTGTACGTAGAATGGGGGTTGGGGAACAAGACTTAAATTGGAAAGAGGCTCATTATTGCATGGGCCCAAACTGAAAAAATAAATCTCATAATGTCCTATTTTTAAAACTCTTTACGAATATGTCCCAGTTTTAAACAAGTTCGTTCAATAAATGGGTGAGCTAATGCTGAACGAAAATTATGGGGTGTAGGCTCGGTCACTGGTTGGGTTTTGTGGGCTCGTTCACCCAATGGACGAGCATGTGAAGTTCCCTTCTTTTTTTTTTATTTCAAGATTTTAATGTTAATAATTTTTTAATTTTAAATAATTAATAATAAATACTAATTAATTTTATAATTATAATTTTATAATTATAATTTTATAATTTAATTTTAATTATAAATTACAATTTTATAATTATAATTTTAAATAGTTAATGTTAATAATTTTTAATTACAATTTTTGATAATTTTTATAATACCATTTTTAAAAATTTTAATTATAAAATACTAATTAATAATAATTACATTATAAAAATAGATTATAAGAAATGTAAATAATTTTAACTTTACCAGATTAAATTACAACAATAAAATTGATTAAACAAAAATACATTTCATCGAAGATGACCCCCAGTTCCACACCTAGTGGTCCTTCGCTCTCTATATCCCCTGCCCAAACGCTCATTTTTAGGCGATTGAGATGAGTCGAAAGACATGTCTTTGTTGTGATGTGTTGTAGGGGGGTTTGCTTGCCGTGAAGAAGGTCCTGGTTGCTCATCGAGAAGATCATCAATGTTAAAATTCGGCATGTGCATCAGTTGCTCGTCTGTCAGCAAAAATTTTTGGAATGAGTGTGGTGGTTGCGGTGGTTGCGGGTAGGTTTCGGGTTGGGTTTGTTGAAGGGTTGGGTAGTAGACGTCATCAGGCGTGAAGGTCGAGGTGGGTTGAGTTAAGGTAGTGTTGAAGGTCGAGGTGGGTTGAGAGAAGGTAGTGTTAAAGGTTTGATATTGGAAACGTGGACCGGTCTGGTCAAAGTTGGGCGGTGGGACTGGGGTGAACTGCATGGGTGGTTGGAGGTAGGGTTAGGGCTGATATTGTTGGTTGTAGTGGTAGTTATAGTTTTGTTGAGGGATTGGATTGTTGGGTGTTTGTTGTTGGTATGTATGTTGAGCTGACGAGGATGCGTGCCCCCCAAATTGAGATGTGTAGGTTGGTGGCACATCCTGATGCATTGATGCGGCAGTCAGTTGTGTTGATGATGATGCTTGCGTGCGTGGGTCGGTCAAAAATCATTCTGGAGCAACATGCACATAAGGAATGGCACGAAACCAAGCTAAATACTCTTGGCTTAGCTTGCGTTCACGTAATGCAGCGTCCCCCTGCAAAATCACATTTCTTTTGTGTCTCCATTCTCTCACCTCCTCCTTGTTTAACTCTCGCCAATGAACTTTTTGGGCTTTTCTCATGGTCATTGCGTGGTGTTCCCTTAGACACCTTGGCGGGGGAGGTATTTGTTGGTCTAATCCAAACTGAAGTGTTACCCTATCCGTTTGATGCATCTCAACGATATAGAAACAAATAAGGTAAGTGACTTCAGATTTGGCGATCTCCAAGACTGGGCACCGGATATTGAATGTACGGCCTCCATATAAACTGCCACATAAAAAAGAAAATTAAGATACAATTAACGAGTAGAACCGACAACTATTTTCACATGGTATCAAACTTACATCTTGTTCTTGCATATGGTCCAATGCATTTCGATATCCTTGAAGATGAAAACGAGGATTTACACGGTAATTCATTCCTCTTTGCACCCATCTTGCATAACAAAAAAATAATAATATTGTTAGGCATAGTTGAATAACAAATATATATATATATATATATATATATATATATATATATATATATATATATATATATATATATATATATATTATGTACACATAAATGGGTGTTTTAATACAAAAATACCTTTGTGCATATGAAAACAAGGGTTCCACTGTGCTGACAGGAGCGAACAATGGTATACGTGTGAATGCCCACGAAGTTAGTAGGAGAGCACAACCACTCATGCTCCTAACATCTTTGACTGCTGCCTTGCACATTTCTCTGTATAGTTTTGCAAGGCATGCAGAACCCCAGCTATAGGTACCGCATGCGACAAGATCCCCTACGAAAGGGATCCAAGAAGAATGCAATAGGTTCTGACTTTTGTCAAGAAACAAATAGTAGCGATTACAAGTAAAATATAAATTTTGGCTTCTAACAGAACTTCTTCTTGTGTGGGGACAGGTTTATTTTTTAAAGTTTCATATAAACTCTCTAACCAGGTGATCCTAACAGAACATTTAATTTTATCCTCTTCTGTAGGTTCCACCCCAAGTTTTCCATATAAACAACGTTTGTTACCTCGGTGGGACCGTTGATAGTTTTTCCATCAACTCGTAGACCAAGTAACATATGCGCATCTTCAAGCGTTATTGTGCATTCACCTGCTGGGAAGTGAAAAGTGTGTGTTTCGGGTCTCCACTTCTCCAATAGAGCCACAACTAAACTTGAGTCGACTTTTAAACTATTTATTTTTTAGATATGTGCAAAACCTACTATTTCAAGATAAGCCGTTATTCTCTGACTCGCTTGAATAGAAACATGTGAATGCACTCTAAACCTTGGGGCATTAGTCTGCAACAATATTAAACCAACAAAATGTAATCACGATTTTTGCTACAAAATAATATTTAACTCCACAACTATAGACATTAATTTTGAATGCATTGTAAAAGAGAAAAAACATACACTAGCTTGGATATTTTCTTGTGTTCCACGATGTTCATTGCCCATCCACAACAATGCCATGTTAATTCAGTATTATGATTGCAAGAGAGTAGAGAAAGTAAATAATGTGTGTATAAAATGCTAGAGAGTAGAGGAAGAAAATGTGTGTAAAAATCTTGTGTAAAAATCTGAATTTATAGTAGTGTGAATTCAATTCAAAGTTAGATGTAATAAATTTAAATAGTATGATAAGACCCTTGCATGGAACTATAGTAGCTTGCATGCATGCAAACTAATAGGTTGATTAGGGTTCCTACACAATGTCGTTTGCATGCCATACAACTTCTGCATAAAGATCACAAGCTCATCCTTGGATTGGACGAGCTCCTAAAGGAGACCACAAGCTCGTCCTTTCAATGGACGCACACACACACACACTATATGTCACGAGCTCATCCTTTCAATGGACGTGCACACACACTTTAAGTCACAAGCTCGTCCTTAGAATGGACGAGCTACAAGTCACAATATTCCCACCTTTTCTCATAGTCGTCTTATATAGTTGTTGGTTCCCAAAATATATGTATCGTTTTATTTATACACATCAATAGTCTACAATTCTATATTGACTACCAAAAACTTATATTGTACACATCAATATTCACTACCAAGAATTTCTATTTTACACTCCAAAATGTCCCAGAGAAACATAATTCTCACATGCCACTTTAACGGTGTTGTTTCAGCAAATAGCTCTGTTGGATTCTCGTTCAGCAACACAGATACATACGCCTTCAAAATTCATGTCAGTTCTGATTTTTTCCATTTTAAAGATAGAATGAAAAAAAAATGGCACAAAGCGTTGAGGAAATAATTTATCGCCATCCAACACTTAATGAAGACGACTGTACCATTTTTTACATAATGACGCCGATCCGGAACGATGAAGATGTGAAGGCAATGTTTCGGTGCCACATGATGTTTGGTCAGTTACCTACAATTGAGTTGTATGTCTGACTACTAGACAATCCCAAAACATTTCCGACGCAAGAGACACAGTCACACTGGTACGGGATGAGCCAAACATCTGACGACGAACCAACACAAAACAACTTACCTTTCATACCAAATGAAGAGGTTGGAGAGGCAAGCGATGACGATAGTCAGGAGGTCAAGATGCAAGATATTTTTGGTGACAGTGATAACAAAGACAATGAAGATATAGTTGTCACGTCTATGCAGTCGATCCATGCACAACCCATAAGTTTGTACAACCCGCTTGCGCACATGCAAAATATATATTTCGAACACGACGATACAACCTCCATGTTTGGAAGTGCTATTCAAAACCATATAGGTGACGAAATAGAGATTGGGATGGAGTTCGAAAACAAGGAAGCTTGTGTCCTCGCTCTGCAGCATTGGCACATAACACACAGTGTGGACTATTGGGTGTATCAGTCTGACAATGAACGATATGTCATTAAGTGTAAGAAACAAGACTGCAGTTTCAAGTGCAGAGCTTCCTTGAGAAAAAGGAACTCGAAATGGGTGATCGGTAAGCTGTCTGGGTCTCACACATGCACTACGACGTCTATGGCACAAGACCATAGGAAGCTCAGTTCAAAAATGGTTAGCCATAGTATTAGAGAACTTGTCAACAACGACGCCTCACTTAAGGTAAAGGTGATCATTGCCCATATTCTTGAAAAATACGGGTACATTATATCTTACAGGAAAGCATGGATCGCTAAGTGCAAGGCGGTAGAGTCGCTTTATGGCAATTGGGAAACATCTTACAACGACCTACCGCAGTGGATACTGGTAATGAAAACCTTCCTTCCAGGAACCGTTATAGATTTGCAAACCCTACCTGCGATATCAAGTGATGGTTCCCAAATCTCTGGAAAACGAATATTTCATCGTCTGTTTTGGGCATTCTGTCCGTGTATACGTGGCTTCGCCTACTGTAAACCTACTGTGCAAGTAGACGGAACTTGGTTGTATGGCAAGTATAGAGGAACTCTATTGATGGCAGTGGCACAAGATGGCAACACAAATATTTTCTCAATAGCATTCGCATTGGTCGAAGGTGAAACAAAGGAAGCATAGAGCTTTTTTCTAAGGAACCTGAGATTACATGTGACACCACAGCCTAATTTGTGTCTAATATCTGATAGACATGATTCGATAAAGAGTGCATATAACAATCCCGAAAACGGATGGAAACATCCATCATCTTCACATGTCTACTGCATAAGACACATTGCTCAGAACTTCATGCGCGAGATTAAGGACAAAGATCTACGGAAAACTTGTTAACATGGGTAACCAAATACATTTCACTTATCTCAAGTTTTGTACCACACTTTTATCATTTTTTTTCACACAATTTCTATTACAGGTTACGCATTGACGGAGGCTAGATTTAATTACTATTGCGGAGAAATCAAAAGAACAAACATTGAGGCTTCAAATTGGATAGACAACATTCCTAGGGAGAAGTGGGCTAGAGCATTTGACGGAGGGCAACGTTGGAGACATATGACATCTAACTTGGCAGAGGCCATAAACTCTGTAGTAAAGGCAACCAGAAACCTTCCAATCACTGCATTGGTCCAGTCTACATACTATCGAATGGGTTCACTCTTTGGTAAAAGAGGACACAAATGGACCAAAATGCTATCTCCAGGAAAAGTTTTCACAGATGGTTGTAACAAGGGAATGGCTGATGAGGTAGCCAAGGCTAACACACACAACGTCATGCAATTTGATCGCGAAAGATTCTGTTTCATGGTGCAGGAAAAGATTAATTACAACGATGGTCGTCCAACGGGTACTTTCAGCGTTGACTTGAGGAATCGTTTCTGTGACTGTGGAAAATTTCAAGCATTTCAGTTGCCTTGCTCCCACGTGATAGCGGCATGTGCTAGCATACGACAGGACTACACAATTCACATTCCAGAGGTCTTCACAGCTCTTAATGTATTCAAGGTCTACAAGGAAAGTTTCCTGGGACTACCGCACGAAGAGAACTGGCCAAAATAGGAAGGTTTTACTCTGTGCCACGACGATTCCATGAGAAGAAATAAAAAGGGGCGTCCAAAAAGTAGTAGAATTAGAACTGAGATGGACGACGGAGAAAAGGAGAAGAGAAGGTACAGGATTTGCAGAGAAATAGGTCATATGCATAGAAAATGTCCCAATGTTGTCGGTCCGTCAAACCGACCGAATAGATAATTTGATTGTACTACTTTTGTATGTGATCCATCAATTATTTTTA